TTATGATTTTTTTATTTGTTTTTTGATAATACCCTAGTCTTGATGTAAAATAGAATGTTCAGAATAAATGAACTTTTTATTTTATATTTGTTAAAAAAATTCATTTCCAATTTCCTAAAACACCATACACAAACTATAAAACAAAAAATAAGTTATGTTAGTTCTATAACTATAGGTAATACTTTAATAAAACTTCCAAAAGTTATTGGATGAGACATTATATAAATAACTTCGGGCTTCAATCTTAACGCCTGTTATTTGTCGTTCTACTGTTTATATTTAATTAATTATTAACGAGAGCATTGTTTTTCGATCGGTTTAGAATAATTTGATGTGAAATATGATTAGAAACTAATGTTATTTTACAGGTTTTTAATTATAATTATCACAACAAACTTATTAAAAGACGACAGAACTATTTAGCCATTAAAAGGTAAATTGCAATAAAGTCTTTATTAAATAATTGAGAAATTCACAATGAAAATATCAGTCACATAAAAGTCTTTGACATGCTGCAATCATTTTAAAACACCTGATGGTAATCGTTATAAACTAAATCACTAGAAACACTCAAACGTAACAACGAAAGAAAATACAAAATTTTAATTTTGAGTAATCGTTTGATGTGCTATGTGCTAATAATATAAATATTTAAGTTACACCCAAAATAATACACAAGTGCAAACACATATAATTACACAGCATCGTTCCAGAATTAAATACATTTAATTAATTATAAGTTAGTGTTATTGGCACTGACTTCTCTTGCCCTCGCGAACTTACTCTTTTTTCTCTTTCACACTCTTTTGCACTTTTATATGTTGACTTATATACATTCCTACTTACATTAAATAAACTAATGAGCCGAAAACTTATATAAAAGTGATCAACTAATATATGGCAACAGGTTAGGCATGATGCTGAATCAAACGATACAGCTTCTCGTTATATACACATTAAAAATTTACAGACAAGCTTTCATCCGACCATTCACATCAATTAAACTACATACATTACATGCAACATTCACATTTTCACGCATGCATACTTTTCTTTTAAATAATCTACAGTTTAATTTGATCTAATAGTAAGATAATTAGTGACTGATGGTTACTACTACATTGCTCTTAGGAATACTGGCTTGAATGGTACACGACAGGGGCGCATTTTTATTTACTACGCGCGTGGGTTAGTAAAATTAAAACGAAAAACACTGCAAACAATCACAGAAGTTTCCCTAATAAATAAAGGATGAAATTGTATACAAATTAATTTAATTTCGAGAGCTCCTTCACCCTATCATTCACAACGATTACATTAATATTCGTGCAATATTAAATATTTAATAGGGCATTTTTTTTATTTGATTTTATCTTAGTTATTAAAACAAAAACACTAAAGGACATGTAGTACTATACTAAACAAATTTAAGAATAGTCGGATGAAATGATATGACACAAAACAAACACACCGTACATATAAAATATTATACTTTAGTTTACTGGTAGAACGAACACCCTGTATATGTTTGAGTATATTGCAATGATGTGTAAGGAATTTTATCGTATTTGATTATTTGGTATATAATACTGATTAGATGATGGTAAGCCTTCTCAAGAATATATGCATTACTTAATTACTTCGTAAAACTAATATTAAATTTCATAGAAAAGTGAAACAATCACACTTTCTTTCTCAGTTCCGTATGAAAATTTGTTAGTTTCTGATAATGCATAAGTGGGATCATTAAGTTTAGTTCTTTTGCCTAATCGTAAGTTTTCTTTTTTCTACTAATATTAACAATTAGGGGTGGTTTAAACTATATTGAAAATATTTGACTAGAGATTGTAATATTTGGAATTATTTTTAAAACATTAAAAAGTAGCAATTATATTTCGAAACAAGAAATGTTAGAAAAAATAGGCCAATCTGTTAAACAAATTATTGTAACAGTAGTTAAATTTATTACTATTTAAATACTGTTGTACAAAATTAAAAGCATAATTCAGGGGCGGATCCAAAAACAATTCTTGGGGGAAATGGGAATTACTTTATCTAAAATCTAGAGATGATGTTATTTGGTATAATATTCAGGGTAGTGTTTAAAATAATAGTAAAAATTGATCACTCAATAATAAAACAACTCGTATTGTAAATCGCACATATTACCGTGATATACATTATTAAAATATTTATTTAAAAGGAAGATATTGATGTAATCTGTAAATCGTACAGCTCTAGGGGGATTAGTAGGAGACAGGGTGTCAATTTCGCCCATTTTCCCCCACTGTGGATCCGCCTCTGATTAAGTAGGTACCTATGTAGAATAAAAATTTTGAAAAATACACCGGGTGATTCATTAAAAACTATAAAACACTAAAAAGTACTCTTCTAAAAACACCGATCATAATGCAGACGACGTATCTAAATTTTTGGTAATTCATTATGCATCCAATGATCAATGTAACACGACTAATGTCTTATGCTTACCTATAACGCTTTTCAGTACCTATGTTTCGAAATTAATTTTTTTTGTATCTACTTAATGGTTAGTAAATTATGATAATAATATACCCTACGAATTGTTTAAATATTTTACTGCAGCTTGAATTTACAAGAAAAAAAAAGCATTTAAAACCAAAATTTAGAAAACCGCGTTCACTTGGTTAATGCTATCAAAAGAACCCTGTACTTTTCAAAATGGTACCGAGTTTATATTTTCTAATGAATATTATCAAACTGATATACATATGCTCCTATGATAATTATGAATTTAATTATGTATATGTAGTGGGAGTATTTATTTTTCAGGACAAAAAGATGAGTAAACATATGAGGTAACGTTACGTTTCTTTAAGCAATTATTGAGATGTGAAGTGAGTGAAGTGAAGAAATCTCGAGAATATCATCGAAGATACTTTCCACATTTTGTTTTACATGTATGTACTTATTATAACGAATACGTAAAATCGTGAAAATAATAATATAAACCATAATGGCAGTGGATTTAAAGAAGTGTGTAGGCTTTCGGGAAACTTCACACGCACACAGTGAACAATTGCCTACAATCGTCGCTTAAGTCGCGTATGTGGCGGACAGTCTTATGGGTCACGTAGAAGAACGTGATTATATTATTTTTAATAGGTTTTGTGACGAAGGAATGTTTTTCATTATGATCGACACTTAGATTATTCGTCGTCAGGTTCAATCTCCTCTCCAGGACCATACATGTCTGCCAGTTTATCAAATCTAGGGCCCCATGCGCCCAGGTAGTCGTATTCGTGTGTGCCATCGTCCGTTCCTACAGTAATTATGGCATCTTTTTATATTAAAAAAACAGCCATGCATCTATCTTAACTAATATTAACGGGATTTATTCAACGCAATTTTGTTCATAAAAGGAAAGTAAAAATTACTTTTACCACATTTTCTGCATTTCGGAAAATTTGATCTAGATCTAATTTTAAATGCGGTTTAAATAAATCGATGATTCTTTTAGAAATGTGTTAGTTACAATATTATTAAAAAAGTTACCTGAAGCAAGCGAACTCAGAGAGCCTGCTGTACTGCCACCTCCTTCATAAGCGTAATTGCGCAAATCATCAAATGGTGGTGCATTGAGGTCACCATCAGCTCTTCTTTTATGCTCGTCAATGAAAACTCCAACATTGGGTTCCTGACCTACACCTAAGATTGGCGGTGGATCTATTGAAGGGACAGAGTTTATGTATTAAAAAAAAAAAAAAAAACAAAAAAATGTAAAAGAAGATATATTATTTAGTTATGATATTAGCTGTCAAAATCAAATCTACATGACATAGTTATTCACTGGTATTTTACTTTTAAGGCTAATAAAACTATCAAAACACTTACAAGCAAATTTTGGCGGTATATATTCAGGTAATGGTCCACCAATAGGAATTTGCAAGGGAGTGATATCAAATGCAGTCATATCATCTTCGCCGCCTCCTTCGTCATCATAATTAATTATATTTTCACGAACATCATCGTCAGGTCCAGGATACTTTATCTGGGATTCCCTTCTGCGATTGTAGACTACAAATACTAAAACTAGGACTGGAAAAAACATAAGTTCAATTAGAAAGTATCTAATTATTACAATGAGTTATAGTGATAAATACGGTCTAATAGATTTTAAAAACATGTGAATTAGTAGATGTTCTATATTCTATTGTCTATTATTCTAGCAAAAAAGATAATTTTATTTGTTAAACATCTAAAATAGTAATTCTTATTCTTTAAGGGCTAATTCCTTAGTTGTGTGCAGTACTAACAATAAAGAACAGTAAATGTTGCAGTATTTCTAAAATACTTACTTAGCAGAAGTATAAGACATACGATTATTGCAATGATAAAGTCTCTAGACGGTTGTATAGCCCCTGCTGAGGCTAATTCTAATTCACAATGTCCACCGGTGAAACCCAATGGGCAAATGCATTCATATCTTAAAGGCGGGTCGTAATCCTTACAAATACCTCCGTTGATACAAGGAAACCACAAACATTCGTTTTCATTGTTACATTTTCCGTCCTTAATTCTGTAACCTTGCGGACAACTATTGAAAGCAAAAAAGAAATTACTCACCGATTTTCCTTGAGAAACGTTGCTCCGGCACTGAGACAATTGTAAACGACTTAACTGCTTTTCGACTCTACTTGTATAAGTACTAAATATTATATAATAAACATAATATTCACCATGCGAATTAAATACTTTACTACATGCCATGCCTAGCTAAAACTTAGGGTCCATACTTCGTTTATAATGTTCTCTATTCAATTTTTTTATTATATTAATCTATTTATGAACCTTTAAAAATATTTTATGTTATTCTGATTTTAATCAGAAAAAGTAAAACGGACACTCAAATAATATTTTTTGGTTTTGATTAATATAATTATACTTAATAAATTCAGGTGAACCATTCTTTTCATTTTATATAATGTGACTCAACGAAGCACTTTATTACTAATTCATCTAAAATCGAACCAACAACTGCTTTTCTTCTGATTTTTATAAAAACTATAGTTTTAGTGTATTATAAAAGAAGTATACTATAAATGTAATGTAATTTTACTCAGTGTAGTTCCTAATTTAGATGTATCAATTAATGAAAGTTAATTAGAAGTTAGAAAAAAACTTCGTGCAAATTAAACAGTGATAAAGTTTCGCATGCCTGGAAAATAGTCTACAGGGAAAATGCTCACTTAAAATGATGAGCAAACAGACGAGAATGGCAGCAAGAGCCCCCATGCTGAGTTTGAGCGTTTGTCCTTCTTGGATGAGCTCGCAGTTTTCCCCCCAAAAACCTTCAGGACAACTGCAGTGATACCGATACCGAGGCTCCTGATTAAAGCAGGTGCCACCGTTTAAACAGGGTAAGTCTAAGCATTCATCTTTGTCCATGCAATCTTTGCTGTCAGGTGACATTACTCTCCCCTCTCCACAGCTGTCGATTTTTGAAAAATAGAAAAAACATGCATATTTTACCACAACCAGTTGTTAGCTACTGCATTTGAAAAAGTATTGCAAAATTTAGTCGTATGTAAAGTGCTGGCAATCAAAATAATTTTATACAAAAAACGGATTAATTGTTGGTAATAAAATTACAGATTATTGCAGTAAATAAATAATAAAACATTATTTATAGTCACTTTAAAAGAGCCTTGTGAAATATATCTTATTTGTCAAAAGTAGAAGGAAATGTAAGTTTTGTAAATTTCGACAAACAAAACGAGATAAGTAATTAAATATGCGTCAGACTGTCAGAGAAACTACTTACTCATTAAAGTTAATCAATAATAATAACGTAATATAAATGTCTAGGCAAAAATATATATGGTAGTATCATGCATTATGTTACAAAAAGCTTCTACAGTTGATAAAACCTCAGTGCCATTGCTTAAAAGAAAAATATATTGTTTAGGTAAGGTTGTAAGAATGTGGTGCTAAAAATAAAGTTGTAAAATGAAATATGTATTATGGAAAAAAAAGAGAATTGGTCGTCATGGAATGCCCGGTAGATGTGAAACATCAAAGTTAATAGTAGGTATCACTGATTTGAAATCATTTAAGCACTTAACAGTGCTACTTCAAAATCAATAATATTGAAAAAAAGTGGGAAATATGGTACCCAAGGGAGTCAAGAACGATGCTATAGAAGGGGCCTGATGTCTTAAGAGAAGGCGCCAATAGACGTTTCACATCAAAAAAATATTCAATTGCCACATTGTTTATAGATGTAGTTTTAGAGGTTTCATTTCATTTCATATTCATTTTTGCATATTATTCATTATAACGAACAAAATGTTTGTTTTCTTACAACCCAAAAGAAAAAAAGTTCATTTTCTTACGTGCACTCGTAGTCATTCCACAAATCGACGCATTCAAATGGCTCAGGACAAATTACGTTCGCACAGGGATTATTTGATGGACAATTTTTTTCCAAATTTCTTGCTGTTGTTGCTTGTCCCCATTGAGTTCCATTTAATGCAGGTGGTAGTGGTAACTGTCTACCTTCTAATCTTATATCATCAAGGCAACCTATTAGAAATGTGATGTACAGTATTAGTTGGAAAAAACTGATTATTCATTTGGTATAGGGTTTTGCTACCTCCACGTCGGTCTGATTTTAATTATATATATAACTAGTTCTTTCTCCTTATCAGTCGAGTGGTCGAAATTCATTTTTGTGAACAATTTGTTTGATCACTTTCTTTGTGTTAAAAATTGTTTGAAAAAAGTTTTGATTGTATTTGTTTACATTCATGCGATTTAAAGCATTGACATCAGTGACAGCAATAGTTAGAGAGCAAGAGTTGGACTTTGCCCTGTGCTGTGATTTTTATATATATACATAATAATTATAATTAAAAAAAGGTTTTAACTCTACGTTTACTCGTATTGTCAATAGTCGGCCATTATTGCTCGATTATGACGTAGTGTCGGCCATCATTCTTTTCTAATTGTTGCTGTTGTCGGCCATCATTCTTTTTCAATTGTTGTCGCATTGTCACTGATGCCGGCCATTATGGTTTTATAATAAATGTATAGTAATTAATTATTAAAATTTAAAGGAATTATTTGCAGCATAAGAAATTGCTGATACTAACTTTCATTTTCGTTATACTACTTTGCCCTGTGCTGACAGTACTCATAATTACTTTTATATATAATATTGTGCCTATTTATAACCCATTTCGAAATTATTTGAGAACATATGATTTAAAAATTCAAAAATAGTTAAACAAACGACTACTCTGACTTTACCTTTTTGGAAATCTGCATAAACTTCATATGTTCGAACTCCAGTATATTCAGCTTTTCCTCCAGCATAAACTCCTTCTTGTTTATCGACAAGTAACCACTGATGACCAGAAAAAACAAATGTTTCATTGTATCTTCTCCCTTCGCCTCCATCTAATTCCAACATAGCAGTTGATCCATATCTGCTGACTTTTACAGTATGCCACTGACCGTCGTCTACATTAATTGCATTTAACCAAAGGTCTTTTTCTTCAGTTCGCAAGGAGTTGAGATTATATCTAAAGTGCAATCTAGAATCTTTAATTTCGAGTATACCGTATTCGCGATTGTGTTGATCGGCAACACGAAACAGTTCACCATGTTCTTCTCTTGTCCTAAATCTCAGTTGTATTTGTGTTGAGAATCGATTGGGTTCGAAACTTAGGGCATACTTTACATAGGATTGTGTTTTGAACGATGTTGGTATAGTGGGAATAGTACATGATGGTCCCGTCCATCCGGGATCACACTGACATTTTGCCTCTGTGAAGCTTCCCATACAAGTACCATGTTCCCAACATCTAGCCGTATGTTCCGGTCTTCCACATACTTCTTCAGTTTGTGGACATCCAGTGAAACTATGTTTAGATAAACCAGGGTGTGCCAAATCATAAAGTTTCGAGTTGTGATATAGGTTTCTAATACAACCATCAAATCCTTTTCCCACTGGCATGTACTGCCAATGATAGTGAGTGGGATCAAACTGTTCAACATATAAGCCACCTAGTTGTAAGGGTGCATTCACATTAAGGTATTCGTTAAATGGAGGGATACTTCCTTGGGCTTGGCAACTTGAGTCATCAAAATCTGGAGGGGATCCGTCTTCCAATTCGGCTACTTCTGCTGATTTGCAGAAGTCAACTACCATTCTAACATTTTCGGTATCCCAAAATATATCCAGTCTATGCCACTCTCCATCATCTAGGGTCTTTTTAGTTTTAACTCGAAGTTCTAAAGTACCAGATCCAAAGTCTAACAATAAACGCGGATAGCCACGCTCAAGTTCCACGGCAATATAATCGGACACTAAAATTTCATCAATTTCTGGAGGAACAATGGGGCCGTTATATAATAATAAACCATCTGCCTTTCTAGTAATAAATTCGAAATTTAAATGCGAATTATCACACATTTCAAGTGCGGGATACCATGCCCAACCAGTTCCTCTAAAACTTCTCGAAGTTTGTTGACATCTAGGACCATTATACCCAGCGGGGCATGAACAAGTTAACGAATATCGGGTTTCAACACATCGCCCTCCATTGTAACATGGATTATTTCGGCAATTTTCTTCTTTACTAAAGTTTCTAGCGCCGCACGTACATTCAGCTAAAACATCAACCCGTACTCCTACCAACGCAGTTTTATTAGCATTAACCATGTAAGGCAAGGCACTGATATCCAGAGTGTTTGTGCAAGAACCTTCACACATTTGATTCTCGTACAAGCATTCGTCTATTCCTACCATTGTAATATTAATTCCTACATCCTTTTCTATTTCTTCCCTGTGCATTAATATGAGGCCGTTCAATCTAACAGGTTTGTAATATGGGCTTCCATGGGCAGAAAATCGTACGTCGGTTAAAGGGGGATGCTTCCTTCTTAATTGCACACTGAAAACATCTACATTATCTTGATCGATGTTTAAAAGATCAGCTATTTTTTCTTTAAACTTTTCTGCTTTACTTTTAGATATACTTTCTGTTTTATAATCCCATATTCGTATAAAATCTTCGTCAGTGATTCCAGCTATCCTTACAGAACCTGAGTTTATTACTGCATCATGTGGTATTTCCTTAACTGTTACAGTAACATTAGCAGGAACATCCGTTTGAGTAAATTTTCTATCGTAAACTTTAAATCGCAAATAGTAACGCCCTTCTCTAGTGCCATGTCGCATCGTAATCATTCCTGTATCTTCGTTTAACCTGAATCTTGCATGTTCTGTTGTTTCCCAGTAGAATTTCTTATCTGGAAGATCCCAATCATCTAAATCATCCACATGAACTCTACCAATTTCTGTATCAGGAGCTTGGCCTTGGTAGTTGTATACAAAGATATCTTTAGAACCAGGATGCATTTTCTTGTCATTGGCATCCCCTATAACTACAGTTAGTGTACTCGTTCCTGTCATTGCCGGGTTTCCATGATCTCTAATTACTATAGGAATTAAATATTCTTTTTGAACTTCCCTGTCGAATGATCTAAGGGATGAAACTATAGCCATTCCATCACCATTGGCACCCTCTGTAAAGTTGAGGAAAAAATTGAGTACAAAATATTTGTTTTTGAAATATTCTAACTACAAAAACATTTTATACTTGGTTAAATTCGATACTTATAATCGAAAGCCAATATAAATAAAATAAAATTTCATTTACTCACTTTGATCTTGTTCCACTTTGAATGACGACCTAATAAGATCATCTGCTCCAGGGTCTAAGCGAAATTGGAACGGTGGTCCATTACTTTTCGACCGGTCGTCATCATCCGTTGCCAATATTTCAATAACTTTCTTTGGCGGCACATGTTCAGGAAGAACAGGTCGATAGTCTTTCAAGAAAGTTGGAGCGTTGTCATTGATGTCTTGTACAATAACTGTCAACGTTGCAGTTGCGGTTTTTGGTGGCACTCCATCGTCGATCGCCAGGATTTTAACTTGATGACGGGGAGTTTCTTCCCTATCCAGTGATCTTTGAATGCTAACAGTGCCTTCTTGATTAATCGTAAATTGTCTTTTACGATCAGATGATCTATCAATGGCATAGGAAACTTTGCTTTTACCACCTTGATCTGGATCAGTTGCTTTAAACGTTTCAAGACTTTTTCCTACTTCGGCATTCTCAAAGACCGAAACTTCAATGTTCGGCCGTTCGAACAGAGGCTTATTGTCATTAATGTCTCGGAGTTTAACAACAACCCAAGAATAAGCCACATGGTATTTATCGTTGTCGTTGTCTTCTCCTTTATCGTTAACTTGTATTCTGAATCTGAATCCATTGCTTTGTAAAAGATCTTCATAGTCAAGCGGCTGTACTATTTTTAGTGATCCTGTGCCGTCGTTGTTTCTTACCATGGTAAACTTATCAGCACCATAACCACTGTTTTCGATGACTTTATACTGGAATTTGTTGGTTTCGTCTTCATCATGGACAGTGACTGAAAACGATTACGGATATATAAACAGATACGATAAAAAGTACAAATCTAAAAAAGTTTATTTTGAATAAAAATAAAAAAAACTTTTGATACACCTGTAGTAATTAAATATGAAGTTTTCAGTTACCTGTTAGTATGGGCATTTCTGGTAAACTAGTACCATCTGTTTCATCGACTTCGGTAATCCATTCTTCTTTCGTAAACTGGGGTGGCATATCATTGATATCTTTAACACGTATAGAAGCCGTTCCCGTTCCTTTTAATCCTCCACCGTCCATTGCGACCACTTGGATCGAATAGTCAGGAGTCCTTTCACGATCTAAACAACACACGGCTGTTTTGATAACACCAGTTTCTGGTTCGATTTCGAAGATTGGAGAACCAGTTTCTTCTTCGATCACATTTTTCTCGATGGAATAGACCAAGCGAGCATTGGTACCTTCGGATGGGTCATCGTAGTCTACAGCTGTCATAGTCATAACTACCATTCCCGCGGTACCATTTTCGGTAACGTTTCCCAAATAAACTCCTTGCGGGAAAATAGGGGCGTTGTCGTTAATGTCTTTAAGGTTGACTTGGACGTCGGCATATCCTACAAGACCTTCACCACCTTCATCTTGGGCGAATACAGTGAACCGCCATTGAGGTCGACCGTTAGGCTGATCTCTATCTAAGGGCTGGAAAAGAAAATATACATTATATGTATTATACACTTATTGTTTTTATTTTTGAAGTGAAATTTCTTTACGCACGGTAGGGAAAGTTCTTTCATGCGAGTTGCTATGTAACGAAATCATGCAACGGATGTCTCGTAGTGGGGATCGCTTGAGCCGTGAGCGCGTTTCGATGCAACGTTCGTAACAGACAACTCCGGCATGTATAGTGTAAAATTTAAATTCATAGTGTACAAATAATACCATTAAACCAATTCCTTAACCTCTATCCCGGTATGTTTGTGTGTTTGTTTCACTTCAGTAGCGTGTTGTTTAATTACACGTTGTATTTCTTTTAGAATTCTGAAGTTATGGTTTTCAGGAGCATAGTTTATTTAAGAATTAGAAGAAGTGTCTGATTTTAGATACCTAGGAAGTCAGATAAGTGAGGATGGAAGGAGTAGTAGGGATATAAAGCAGAGGATAGCGCAGGGTCGTGTTGCCTTTAATAAAAAGAAGTCACTTCTATGCTCGCGAACGGTTAATTTAGAAATTCGAAAAAGGTTGTTAAAGGTGTATGTTTGGAGCACGGCGTTGTACGGGTGTGAAACATGGACAGTGGGAGCGGCGGAAAAGAAAAGGTTAGAAGCGTTCGAAATGTGGTGTTATAGGCGGATGATGAGGATATCGTGGGTAGAAAAGGTTAGAAATGAAGAGGTATTGGAAAGAATAGGAGAACAGAGGACTCTATGGAAGTCAATAAAAAATAGGCGAGATAGGTTGGTAGGACACCTTCTCAGGCATGAAGGTCTAGTCAGAGACATATTAGAGGCAGAAACAGGAGTTAGGAGGGGTAGAGGTAGACCTAGATTAGATTACTGTTTCGCAAATAGTTAAGGATGTGGGCTGTTCTAGTTTTAGGGAAATGCGAAGTTTAGCTCAGGATAGGAAAGAGTGGAGGTACGTGTCCAACCAGTAAGGACTGATGACCTTATGATGATGATGATGAGTTTATTTCCATAAACCCACAATGCAAAATTATGACGACCACCGAATACACACAAAAATTTAATTTGTAATTAGTAGGAAGCTATTCAAATTTCTTCGCATTTGCACGAATAAAATGTGCTCTTATTTCTTAAAAGATGATAAAAATAAACTTTAGAGAAGATAATGTTATTACATGAAGTTTGTAAATGGCAATCGAGATACAGACCATTGCACACATTACATAGCAAGCAATATTCGGAAATAAACAAACACGTCGAAATTGGAATAGTTGAACTAATTTTCCCAATAATTAATTTAAGAGGGCGAATATATATCGATTTTAATAAGTCAGCGCTGTTTGCAAATGTTATACATATACATATGTACGGTTATTACATTATTAGTTTTCCTTTTTGCATTGCATACCGATATTTCCATCCGCCCTAATAACACAACTTAGCTTATAAATCGCTCTGCAATTCTCATAAATCTCACGCTATTCGCGGAAATCGGTGTCATTAAGCTGAGCCGAATGGGCACAAACGGTGCTGATATTGAGATCAGATTGCAATTAAAATAAAAAGGGAGGTGGGTGAGGGTGTTACGGTGAATCATTATTAAAACGAACCAAGCCTGATTTAAAGTGCGCTGATGGTTTCGGATTTATGGCTTGTCTGGCCTATCAATTTAAAAGAACCAAAAACAGGTAGAACAAAAGAGAATATATTTTGATATGAAATACCCAGTGGTGGATCTAGGATTTGCAATTGAGGGGGAGCTGCAGTAAAAAATTGGAATGTTGCCTTTCATCTCACATATATAGGGTTGTTCGGAAAGTCATTTCGTTTTTTCCTGACAGAGGATTTAATTGTATTCTTCTGCACCCAACTTCACATTTAAGCCGTATAATTTTTATATGCTTTGAAAGCTCATATAGCAAGGCTTGTGTGTGAAAAATTCCAATTAATTCTACGCAGTAGTTTTTGGTTGGTGCCCTTTTAAATATGGAGAGCGATA